CATGTCGTCTGCCGTGAATGTATGATTAGCCACATTAAGGCACAGATCGAAGCAGCACATTGGCCTATATTCTGTCCGATGTGCGGACCGGATCAAGCTAATAGAGGAGGTAAGATCTGTAGACTTCCAAAGCTTCTGCTATAGCTCATACTATCTCTTCTAGTTATCACCCGTCATGTCGCAGAGCTTGCTGGAGGTGATGAGGAAATGTTCAAGAATTGGAATAGGATGGAACTGGGAAGTGTTTCCATTTCATTGGAATGCCCTCGGTCAGTGAATTGGTTCCTAACTTGCCTCAAGATGGCTCATTCTTTGGCATTTAAAGGTGTCGAGAATCCGCTAGAGTAGATGCAGAGGATTTTCGTGAGACAGATGTCCTCGATTGCCCACTGGGCTGCGGGGCTCACTGGTGCAAGAACTGTCACCGAGAAATCGAGAGGAACAAGAAACATTCTTGTGATGGACAAGAAGAATTCGATGAACTGGCAAGGGACCAAAAATGGAAAAAATGTCCTGGTGCGTTACTTTGTTACCTGCATACGACGGAGAGAGTGCCGAACACTTACTTATATGAACAGGTTGTGGCGTGATGGCACAAAAGGACGGAGGCTGTAATCAGGTCAGCTGCTTGACTCCTGGTTGTAACACGTACGTTCAATGAGAGTTTATAAGAACTGGATAAGTTTCTAAAACCATCTTTAGCCATTTCTGCTACGTATGTGGAGGGGTCATCGCAAGAACTGCTTCCGTGAATGAGATGATTCAAGCCAAAACACAGCATTACCAGAACTGTCAATTATGGAACCAAGGATGAAATTAGTGATGAATAGTGGGATATATTTTGTAGATTGGTCTTGATCTTACGGAAAGTAACGGTGTATTCCTTCTCCTACCTGACTGCCTTCTCATACCTGAATGATGTGGTTATGTAAAGTCGTTATAATAAAGTACATTGATCCAGTTAGAAATATATGACTATATAAGCGTGTGTCTCTATATCCAGGATGCCAGTAAGAGTACGTAGGGTAGTCGTATGAGTGAGGTTAACAATCGCACAGCAACTAATTCCACCTCATGGTATCAAGTTTCGACAGAATATTGCGAGATTCACTTATTCGCCGAGTTTAGAAGGCACAGTCGGTCCTTCAAGCAACATTCACGGATGCGGTCCAAGCTTGAAGGATACGATGCGTCGTCGATAGTCGCGACACTTAGAAATAATGCCCTCGATCAAATCGATGATGACTATGCATGGCTCGCTTAATGCGGTCAACTACTTCCATATCTCTCTTGACTGCAAGTTTAGGCCGTCGAGGTGGACAGCGTGGTGGATTATTGGGGCCGTAGGGACTGTTGCCGTCAATATTTGCGGTGGAACCATCCGTGGTATACACTGTTGTAAGATGTGAGCCGGCAGGTGGATACTCGTATAGAGAATCGGCAGCAGCGTCTCCTCGTTTGGTCCATATACGGAGGTTACGACCGCCTCCGCACCATTCGTAGTCTAGACAATTAGAAATGAGATAAAGTCGTCGAAAAGAAGGTAAACGTACAGCTTCCAGAACACTTGATAAGACATTTGTTGAAATCAACCGTGTTCATCGAACCATTGTGTTCTAGCTGGTTTGCACAAAAGCATGTGTCCCCTTCAACGTATACTGAGTGATGACCGTGGAATTGATATGGATTAGCTCACCATTTTCCAAACCGGCGATTGAAAACCCCTTGTCGTTGCAATTTTTTACACATTGCTGAGGGGTCATGAATTGGTCCACCACCTTATCACCATTCATGGTGTTGGTATATGGATCACCCTCGTTAATACACCCAACTTGATTCCAATTGTTCGGAACGACTGAATATGGTGCGACCAGCGGTGGGGTCGGTGTCGATCCAATCGAGTTTTTGGAGATACCGTCACCCCAAACGGCATTGTCTCCCAGTAGTCGAGTGATAGACCCATAGAATCCAACGTCTTCCAGTGGTAGATTTTTAACCGGTTGACATTGACCTGCAAGATCGCCGTTATTCGATTGCATCAAGACCCCACAAGTCGAAAGATCAGCTTGTGGATCAGTGCACTGATCAATTACTTGTTGAAGGAGACCAGTATCCCATCCCATGATGAAGTCGGCATGACTGGAGAAACCTTTGGTGTCCCCATTGCTCATGGTGATACAACCGGGGTACCAGTCAAGATCCTTCATATCTATGACGTGTTCCAAGAATAGAGTGATCAATCTAACAGGGTGGGTAGAAGGGCAGGTATTTCCCTCCTTGCCGTCGACGGGGTACGCGACATGATCCTGAAAGTTGTCGCTCGTGATCTCATTTCCCGTCCAACATGACGGGAAAAGGACTTGAATTCTAAGGACGCAACAATTAGGGTGAAAGGGACCTTTAGATCAGCTAGGACTAACCGAACACCTGCTGGACAATATTGATTAGGAAAATCAAGGGTCTCAGCATTGGTATCAAGACAGTGAAAGTTGATAGCTTCGTCCGCGGGGTTACCAGGTGTCGAGGAGCTCTTTGAATTAGAGCCAGCTATCATTCTAAAGCCAGCAGGAAACGCCGTCTGACGGGATCCACGGTGAAGATAGTACACCATATACGAGGAACGTAGAAGCTGGAAGGTGCCGTCTCTGCGCCTATAGTATACCGACGGCATCCAATATCCACTCTTGTCAGCTTGAATTTGTACAGATGAGCACGAGCTTTGCATCTGGGTGTTGTAGTCGTAAGTGACGCCAAAATTATTCCCTCCAACATAGTCATGGACGTGCTATGATTGAATAAGCCTCAAGGAGATGTTGAAATAGATCTACCCACTCCACTAACTCTTCCGGGACTGATTAGGGGGTCTATACGAGCCGTGATTAGGGTATTCGCATACATCCTCCAGGAGGCGTCGACGGAAGACGTCATGAGGATCAAAAAGAATGCAGCATATGGAAGGGTTGTGGATGCCATGATAGCCATGGAACTATATGAAGGTGACAGTCAGCATAAATTTTGTCGATTTGATAACAACAAGACCCACTCGGAAACGGCGATACGCCACCGGAGTGGCTTCGACTATGAATGGCTGGAGATTAGCTCAATACAATCCCAAAATGATCAATAAGTAAAAGCTTACGGGTGATAGGAGGGTAGAGGAAGAAATAGGGTTTTTGGTTGGGTCTAAGGTAAGGTAACTACTTTCTCAGGAATCACAAGAAACATGGACACAGCGCCACCATACTACGCCGAGTTTTCTCAGAAGGAAGCAATTTTTTATGCAGGCAAATAACGGTATGCTACAAATGTGTGTATTTCATATACGATGTCACCTTCCCGGATATATATGTACAATAAATGATCAGACTCGGGATCCAGTCCACCGGATCTGTAAACAAATGCGTATGTCAGTAAAGGTGCTCCACAGACATGACTTATGGATTCAGGCAGGAGTCTCAGACTTCCAAGGAAGGACAATACCGCCCTCATCGAGCCGACCCCAACCCCAAGCCCAGCGCAGCGTTTGCCGGCCCACACACCCGCGTACCAGATGGGTTCAAGCACACATTGGGAGGGGGAATATAGACAAGGGACGTCAGGGAGTACTCCTGCGCGGAGGGCCCTAGAGAGGAAACTGCGAATGTATGGATAGGTTTCATCGTCGACTCCATCGATGAACTGGTATTTGAGATAGCAAAGAAGAATGGATGTTGAATGAAGTAGACATGGGGTTATACTCACCAAACCTTAGTTCGCCACTCACGGGAAATTTTTCAGATCAGTGGTCCTACAGACCAACATCTAAAAATCGACATCTCAAACGATCCTGGATAAAAATTCATCAGTAAGCGTATATAAAAAAGGTGGAAGCAACAGAAGATCAGACGAAATGACGCTGGCATGCGTACTGTGCGTTCAAGACGCGGCGTCCCCAGCGACGGGGAGCAACTCTGTCTCTCAGCAAGGTCGTGTAAGCCGGGGAAGAGAAAAAGGAACATCATATCGGGCAGAAAAGAAAAGCCACTGACCTTAAGCCTGGAGTGGTCGGGAACAACCACCAAGTCGAAAATTTCATGGAAACCTAAAATCAAACCTCGTGACACGGTCACTTGAGAGTGTTCAGAAAACCCGATCCTTGACTTAAATAACACTGAATATTTTTTAGACGTTTCAGACCTTCAGGAATCTCACAGGTATAATGGACCTACTTCGGTAACATGTGGCGCCGATCGTTGTTCGTCACATCCCCGTCGCTTGGTCCCTCAACTGAGCCTCTCAAACCCATCTCAAAGCGTTAGTAGACCCAAATAACTAGTTACAAGGCATTATATCAAGTTCCAGGAGCTAACTAGTGCTACAGACAGTCCTACATTTTCCGTCCCTCACAAGTTTTCTATCAGCCATGCCCAAAACCGACACCGAATTGTTCGTTGCCCATCTCATCCTAAATGACATTAGCTGACAATATCCTTTTTGCGCTGCCAACGATGACGACGGAACGCATTCCTCCCTTTGGGCTGCCTTGCTCGTCCGTTCCCAAACTCTGGTTGTCCTAACCCCTTCTCGTCAACAGCACTCAAGCCCAGAAGAGAGAAATGGCCGGATATAAGTCCGTCATTTCCAACCCCAAGTCTACTGCAGAAGCAAAAGCGGTAAATAGTCTTCTCCGCAAGTTACCGGATGTCACTGACGTGGTATGCTACAGAACGCAGAGAGGAAGCTGAAGCAGTTGATGAATGACGAGAAATTCGAGGTATGTTCTCTTCCTTCCTACCCTCACCGTATCTCTTGCAACTGCGGAGTGTACTGTACGTTGCTCGCTTCTGCATTGAAGTCACAAAGCAACCCGGTATTTCCTATCACCGTGACAATGATCGGATTTACTCACCTTTAACTTTGACATCCTTCATATCTTGGGTAAACTTGGTTTTGACCTTTCTGTTTCCAGACCATTGGAGACCGCATCCATGGACGCGAGAAGAATGCCGCACAAGAAGCTAAAGACGAAAAGTTCGAGACGGTAGGTGACCGCGTGCGTGCACGAGGTCGCCAGTCTGGTGCCGGCTCTGCTTCTGCTAGTGCGGCCTCTCATTATCTTGCTGGAGACAAGAACCCAAAGAGGATTATTGCTGGATTGAAGGTAGGCCATCCTCACGGATCTTGCCAAGCCGGGTCATTGAGTCTTTCTTCCCAGGCATCCTTGAAGAATCCCAATACGTCCGAAGACAAAAAGCAAGTCATCCGTGACAAGCTCAAGTCCCTCGTAAGCCTCACTCATTCTCTTCTGGTGATATGCCTCGACTGATTTGGATCAAAAGGGTGAGGATGCTACCGACTAAACTGCCCAAAAGGTGGACAAGTAATCTATGACGAAAAATCCGTCTCGATAGTCTTCGCGCCTCTTTCGTGCATGTTGAATATTCTCCCCACCTAAATGCTTCGAGCTCCGCGTACGGTTGTGAAACAATCATTACCGCGCGGCGCATCTATCCCAGAGTAGTCCCATATGATTCCGGAATCTGTGCTCTCCTTATTCGGACTTTGAAATGCACCGGTGTAGCTTTCTACCGTACCATTCCATCATGATTTTAGTGTCTTGAGATCTTTGTTTGATGAACCTAGTTGCTCTTTCCGTATTTGCCGTGTCCGACTCTCGAGCGATGCAATGACCACAAGAGGCAGGGCAAAGGTGATGTCGGCGGTGTGTCTGCCGACAACCCGCGCGCCCACACGGCCAGCTTCACTGCAACACCCACTAGACTAAATCGACGTTTCGACCATCGGTATCGACCTCTAGTGAGGGATAAAGTCCATATGCAGGAAGGAAAAGGAGGCACGTGGAGTGCAGACTTGCATGTAATCCTCGTCATGGAAGTCACCAAACTCTTCAAGCAAACGTGTTTGACCGAGTCCCACCGCTTTGTGGTTTTTAGGCTTTTCATTTCATAGTCACAGATCAGGACCGGATCCCATCATACTGCACTAGGCCCGGTCTAATGTGGCCGTACTGGCCAAAGGTTAAAAAGGACACTTGAGGCGCCAAGTCGAAATCCACCCCCCTCGCGCATCCTTTCCGCCCTCTCTCAATCCTTTTCTCAACCAAGAGATTGATCAGAGGATGTCTAGAACGGTCATCAGCTCTATCGTGATCGACGATAGGCATCCCAATGTCACGTACAATGGAGTACCATGGGATCTGCACAGTAAGTGTCTCTGCCTCTCTTTTCGGCGGTCATTTCAAGGCATAGTACTAATAATTCGCCATCTTAGCTTCGTTAGGTAGCACCTCTAGACTCTACAACAACACGGACAGTATCTCAGGTGTAAAAGGAGCAACAGCCACAGTCAACTTTTATGGGGTATGTACTCATGCTTACAAAGGAATCGCTGATTTTAATCTTGTATGTTCAGAATGCTGTTGAATACTGGGGTAATCAAGGACCTGACCACGGTCCTTGTGCTGTCAGCTTGGATGGGACGATGTTGGGCATGGTCAACTCGTTTGCAGCCCAGGAGGGAGCCTCTATCCTCCTCTATGAAAAGGATGGCTTTGCTCTTGGAGATCATACGCTCGCTATCACAGTCTTGGGAAACGACCATGTGTGCGAGATTGACCGCTTTGTGTACGTCTTCCCTCCCATCTCGTTTCTAGTTCTGACACACGGTATACAGCGCAAAAGTCACCAAAGATAGCTCGACAGGCCTCAGTCATAAGGCAACTTTGCTTGCTGCTGCTGCTGGTATGTCTCCCAGCCTCTCTCTGAATCGATTCTGACTATTCCCAGGAATTATCGGGGGTATCGCAATAGTCACACTCGTAATTCTCATTATCATGTGCTACAGACGGAGAAACCTCAAGAAAGCCGCCCGCCAAGACGAAGAACGACCAAGTTCCTCCTCTTCCTGGTCTGAGAAATCTAAACGGGCCGAGAAGATTGGACTTCGACCGTTCATCCTCCCCAACCTACCAATATCCACCCAGCAGCAAGATCATCGTCCGGTGGAGCGCGCGTCTGACGAGAAAACGCGCCCAACACGACGTGAGAGCCACCGCGCTCGCCCGGGATCGGCTCCTGCTGCCACCACCACCCACAACCAGAACCCTGCACGTCGTAGCTCCACTCGTACAGGAAATCCTCAACGCAGGTCGTCGAGTTCTAGTCCACAGACTGTTCCGCTCGAGGTGTCCCCTGGTGGCGCAGCCTCCTCTAAACCTAGATTGCCATTGACGGCTCCTGCTCGTGTGATGACGACTTCTCCCCGAACGCCCTATCCGAGAAACTCGAGGCATTCAAGGAGAGTGACGATTGACGTTGAGTCGGGTGTGAGCGACCGGGCTACTTACGACAACCGGAACAGTGCGACACCGTCGCCACAATCCGATGAAGCAAACATGTCCTCTGCCCGTCCTTCTCCTTCTTCACCGTCACCCAAGCAACCGAGGATCTCTCGTGACGTTGGTTCTGCTGCCGCTCAGCGCTCGAATACGTATAGGAGTGAAAAGTCGAGGTATATGGGTAGCCAAAGGACGACGCCCATTTCTGCTGGAGCATCGAGCCCAGCTTCAGCTATTAGAGGAGTCGCAGGGCCCAGTGGAGTCGGAGGAGAGACTACTTTTCAGCCTTCAGTGAGGAATACGGAATCAATCTTTACGGACGCTGCTCCTCCTTCCTACCAGTCGTAATACATTCGAGGAAGAAGGGAACGTCACAAATGAACATCATTGATTATGACCATACGTTATTTAGCATTTGTACCATACATGCATTGACATCCCTGTAGCATACACCCCGACGCCCCAGTTATTTCTTATTTGTAGAGCAGTATGCTATATCTTGTGCATAATATGGACGTATCCTTGTGCTCTCCAGCTCTAGTTCCTGAATCGGAGATGGACTGAATGAGCTTCTTCGTGATTGAACGAAGCCAGTTTAAGCGTACAGCCGGACTGTGTTCTAATCCGATAAAAACTAGATCACCGAGATGCGTCATGCAGTGGACGTATGCTGACGGAAGGGCAGCGCATACGGGCAGTGGCCAACTACGCCTCGCTCGCACAATACGCTCGTGGATAACTATTCATAGTACTTGTTTAGCCATTCCTGTCAAGCACTGCTAGTAACAGTTTTAGACTGGCAGCGCATTCCAAAGTCCACAATGATCCCGCTGAGCCAATTGTGCTTACATAATGTTTCGGGTAGACAGCATGATCTCCGCGTTTGCGCGTCTGCTGGGCCGTCCCCCTCAACGCAGAACGCAATCCTCGGCACATACTCGCATACTTGCAATCCCGACATCTCCATCCCCATCGCA